TCACAAGCATTTCAGACCTAGGAGCTCTTCGTCTCTCAGGGCTTTCCGGAGAATCTGTTTTTTTTTCACTATCCTGCGGACCTATGCTATAATTGCGCACTCACTAGTGGATTTGCAGGAGCAGTTTTCAATATCTGATGTTGGTCGACTCTACAAGATTCCCCGTGAAGAGGTTGAGGCGTTGAGCTACAAGCGGCTGCTTCCCTCTACTCTTTGTAAACAGTACGATACACTTGAGGAACTAGTGACTATGATCAGAGAGCCATTGATAGAGGTGATTGCATTTGATATTTTTGAGTCTGTTACGAATTAAGAGTTCAGAGGTTTTGTTCAGGTATCCGTATGCATGAATGCGGTGCGACCATCGTTTCCTGCTCTTCGCCTAGTTTTGTGGGGCCCCTTTGGTACTGGTAAATCAGTGACTTTAAATCAAGCGGTTCATCTCGCCTATACTAAAAACATGGTCATCATTCATCTGAGAAGTGGTGATTATTTTTCATTCAGTTTAGTCTGCATATTTGTCTGTCCTGCTACAAAGTTTTAGTGACGTAAGGCTCCGCTGTGAGAACTTTTTCCAATATCTCAGCATATTTGTGATAAATTGTGATAAGCCTCCGCATTTTTAGGTCAAAATCACTCAAAATTCGAGAATTGGAAACGGGCGCAGTAGGCTTAGAGGGGGTTTCCCTTTGTAGTGCCGAATCATCAGATAGAGATCTCTATCGCTTGTGCAGCCCTGGGGTGGTGCCAGGTAGAGACCTCTTGTCAACCCTAGAATACCTGCTAACTATTATAATGCAATGTACACAATGTACAAGGACAATGGGAAGTATGGGAGGTAGCTAAAGTGCAAATGCTCCCCCCCCCCCCCCCCCGCTGGAACTGCGAGCGCTAATAAACCCATTTATTCGATTTATAGCGAAACATGAATTTTAGAAATTTTTGTTTATTTTCTGCGGAAAACGACAATTGTTATGATGGTCAATATTATCCGCGAATTGCTATACATGCTCAATCATCCATTAGGCTACGTTCGTACTCCCCCATAGCGATTGATGAGAAATCTGGGCAAGCTCCGCCATCGTGTGCTGGCAGAGTCTCTAGTCTATTTCCATCTTTTCTTTGACTACCCTTTTACCTGATTCGCGAATCCTTCTGAATCGTGGTTCCCCCTTATTCGCAAAGTATAGACGCCGCCTTACATTACTTTTTCAGCTATGGACCTGACGCGGCAGGTGAAAGAGGTTGAGATGTCTACGTACAAGCCAGGACGTATTAATGATCCTGTCAGATCTGTTGCTATTCTTCAGACATAACAAACGTAGTGGTAGCGTTTTCACGTAAGTGCAGGTCGTGAGAGTGGCGGGAGAGGCATTTTAAAGATCCCTTTCGGAAATTTCTTCTGAGCTTTTTAGGAGTAAAAGTTCTTCTGGGAGCTGCGGGGTGGGGGGGGGCGTGTGGAGGACGTGAAGACAACTTCTTGGGTAGGAAGCACTCTGCGCTACAGTTATGACGCTTTTGCACTGAGAGTTCCTTTGAAAGCTCTGTTCTGCTCTCCACTCGGTCGACGATGTGAACCGCTCTGTCCTTTTTCCGATTCTCTTTCATTCACTTTCGTTCCCGATTTGTGGGTTGCTCGAATTCCAGAATCAACACATCTGGAAAACTCTAAGTGGGCTCAAGACGGAACGCGACTATGAATGGACAAAAATCGAGCGCACGGCAGTTGATCGGCCAATAAGACAGGGGGAGATGTTACGGTGCCTGTCTGTTTTCTGGCCTGGGGACGTGTTTTACAGTTAAGGACCACCCTGTACGCAGCATTTAACAAGCGTGGGATTCTCTTCATCTCTATGGTGTGAGCGCAACTTACAGTGTGGCATTTTCCGCTACCCTGAAAGTTACGCGGACTGAGCTGGAGAGTCACGGTTGCTGGGTGTGCCTTGTTTCTCCGCCTGCCAATCAATACGCGATGTGTGGGTCGCGAACACGCAGCACGCCGCACGACCAGCCATACGATTGACCATCATCGCCGCGCTATTTGTTCGCAGTTTCTCATGCTCGATTAGGGCGCATTCCCTACAACATGACTTGGGAGCTGGCGGGATTGTCGCAACCGAAATTGTGCTAGTGCATTTTACCTGCAACGTTTGGCGTCCACATGGCGTAAATAGTGGGCGGAGACACAAGGAACATGCACATACTTAGCCCTCCAACTTCATTTCCGTTCTTATCCGACTGGAAGAAGTGCCGCAATCTTACGGCTGCGGTCTTGCCAACTTCGAAGCGCATTCGCCTCGCAGTTAAACTGATAGGCGACTTAATACGGTCGTTGTTCGCTGTAGACGCAGGGTCAGCGGGAAGGGGCAGGGTCTTGGCCGCCAGCCGAGTTCTCCACCTACGAGTGGTTCGCCTGGCAGACTTCCACATGTTGCTGGAGGACAGTCTGGCGCCACACAAACCGATCCGTTCCCCTGATATTCCCCGACGTCTGCAGCGAATAAGAGTGCGTTTACTGAGATAGTTTACTTCAAGGGTTTGTCGGCGCCATTCCTTGCAACGGACTGTGTCGGCGCCCTGTTTCGGGAGTTGAAGCGACATTCGAGTGCGGGGACCATAACCGTAAGTTTTACTAGTTGTTTGTGTGAATCTGAAATGGTCCCCAGACGCCCTTTGTTTAGATGTTTGTTGCTATAGACGATGCAAATTCTCTATGGGGTAAGACCTTGGTCAAGAAAGCCGATAGGAGCTATGTAAGTTAACATCATTTTTGCCAATTTTGCTTTAATTTATTCTTTGTACATCCATGTTTCAGGCTTCCGCCTTCGGATCTTTCTCTCGTCAGCCATTTCAGAGGATTGATCGCTCCAGAATGGGTAATTCATATTGCTCTTGTTATTTAAGCTGTATATTTCCCTCAGCTTATTACCTTGTGGTATAATTTCGGCCAAGTATTGCTTAAAGGGGCATGCTTTCGTCTTCTTCCGTCGACAATGTTATTTGCTTTTTTCAAGTATTTACAAAAGGCTCCTACAAACTTTGACTGGTGTCTCTTAATGGCTCAGCAAGATCTCACAGGTCTCGTGGGTCGGCACGTCAACGCGACTGAAATGCAAAATGCTCCCCCCCCTCCCAAAGCGAAATCCGCCATAATTTCTTTGTTTAGCAAAACGGATGTATCCTGTTGGTAGCTGATAAGAAAGAAGTGGTGGATGCTCGAGATGAAGTTACTGTACCGAGGAACACTCCTTTAGAGTTGTTTGGAGAAGAAGGATTTTATTTTATCGAGGTTTCTACTAGTACATATAAGTTTCTCATACATCTCAATGGTCGTAAGTATCATCACAGTTTTTGCTCAAAAAGTTTTTTTCAGCCTTTTCTGCCAATTGAAACTAAACAGTACACAAAAGAAGAAGTGAGCAATATGTATCAATATTATCATGATAAGAGGTGGCTTGCAAGTGAAAAAGGTAGGTTTTCGGTTTTCATCTGAAAAGTCGAAGCCAATATTGTTGGTCTGTGATTCGGCCTGCAACTTCGGTGGTCCCTGGAGATCTCTCGGTGACCTATAGAGCGGCAAACAGCTTGTCCATAGGCTGGAAAAGGAGTTCATGCAGAATCCTTGATGGTGCGGTTTTAAAGTGAAAATGCCTATGGCACTGGATTTTGACCTTTTAAGGACCGTGTGAGGTGGTGAGACATGTAGCGCGCGGGTGAGAAATCAGAGAAATGATAATGAGGACACGCCTGCAGAAACAGTGGAGTAGGGTAGAGATTAATTGGAGAAGCGCCGTAAGACTCCAGTTACCAACCCCGACTTCTTGCCACATACTGTCGGGTAGCGTAGTGGTTACTGGTAGTTTCGACAAACTTTGACTTTGACTGGTATCACTACGGGTTCACAAGATTTCATGAATCTCCACTAGATGGCTCAGACGTTGATGGCAAGCAGCGAACGTGCAGAATGTTTCTCCGTCGCCGAGCTGCGCCAAGTTCTTACGTAATGGGTGCTGAATTCAGTTTCAATAATACTCTTCGTGAGCCGCGCGGAGGTGGT